CAGTGCTGCAAGTATCATTTCTATTACAGAGGCTGGTGTATGCATTGTATCCTGTATCTTATATGTGTAATATAATGGGCATTTAGTAACCTACAGACATAGGAATCTTAGAAAAAAAAAAATTATATCTATACATGTGATTATGTATATGTGTGTGTGTATGAGACAGAGAAACGAAGGCAGAAGGAAAAACATGCAAACAATCTTCCAAAGAAAAACTTCTCCAGAGGATAACACTAAAATTTCCATGAAAAGAAGCTATGACAAAAGCCTACAGACCCAATGCACGCCCAAGAACCTGTAGCATAGAAATGGTTCAGTCACTTCCACATATGCAAGCCAGGCTGATTGAACATTCACATTGAAAGATTAGTCTCAACAATCACAGAGATCACTAGCTTGTATGGTTCATCCATTGGATCATTGGAAAAATGGGTGTCACACCAAATTTTTTTCTGTTGGCTAGCAGTAAGCATGTTCAGTCAGAAATGAAAAAAAAAAAAACAACAAAGAAACATCCAATCTGTGTGGAGAGTGTTTCTGAGGCTAAGTACTGTACTAAACTAGACAGTTTATATTTAAATGTTCATCACAGGATTTTGCTGCAAGTTTCATTTCCCTTGTTTAAAAGGCAGGTACTATTTACTTACTTGCTGCTACTTCGCTCCGGGGGTCATAAGAATCATTCATTAATGGCAACACTTCGAACAAGTGAAATCCTCTCTAATGACACCAGCACTATTATTATGGGGAGAGAACGGCACCACCTGAAAATAAAATCGGGAGCAGCTTTTCTTTCCCTACTTTGAAGATGGGGAACTCACATCTAATTTTAACTTTATTTTGTTGTTTAGCTTTGTTTCTCTCTACTTGGCTATCCTCTCTCCAAAGTAGGGTGGCATTGTAACTTTGAGGGAGGATTCTTATTACATGGCATTGCAGGATTACCCCAGCTTTATTCAAACTAATGCACTTAGCCTCAGTTCAAAAGTAAAAAACACAACCACCCCATTCTCCCACTTGCAATCATACTCAGATGTTTTACTCCATTGATTTAGAGGTTTGAGTATCTTTCTGGATTTTTTTCCTATGTGTTTCATTTGACTGCAACAGAGTAGCTTTCTCTAGACAGCCAGCTTCTCATCCAGCAGAGGTCAGCTGTAAATGCATATGCAGTGTTATCAACAGGATTTGTACAAGTCTCTGCAGCCCAGATTCCATCAGTGTTTTTATCCGTATTAGGTAAGATTAAAGCCAGCTAGGATAGCATGCAGAGGAGGTGCTGAATTGTGCAAGGGCTCCGTTTGACTCCTTTGTGGAGGCTCACTTAGCACCTCTCTGTGCTCACTTAACAACTTTGCTGTGCTAAATCCAGACCTGGCTAAAGGCATTCATTACACAGCACAAAGGCACAGATAAAATACAGGAGCTCAGTACCAGAAAAGTGTTCTCACTGAGATAATGCAGCAGTAAAAAATTAGAAAAACCCTCAGCATTGCTCCTTCACAGATCATTATTGTCCTGCTGCTAATACAAGTAGTGCAGAATTAGGCCACCAGTGAATATCACACTGTGTGAATATCCACCGAATATCCTGAGTACATGGATTAGCACATATGAAAGCCACTGCCTGCTATGGCACTGATTCCAGTTAGCTTAAGCATGTATAATGCACACAGTATTGCTGGAGATTTCCCTCCCCCCCCGCTTTTTTTTTTCCAATGAGCTGAACACTGACTGGATTGCATCAAAAAGATGAAAAAAACTAGGACTTTTATAACGGCATTCTTCCAGCAGCAGGTCACACAAATTAGAACAAGAAGAATTGTTTTGGTATATTCCCACTGATTTCCAAGGATCCTTTGTGATTTTAAGGAGAAAATGAGAAACAAAACTAAGAAGATAATCCTAGAGAAAATCCCACTAAATCTATACTAGGTACTCCTGTGCAGTAAGCCATCAGCATCTGTCAGTGTGAACTGTGCTTCTTATTAGCAGTGGATGAGTTGCATGGTGTTTCCCTAGATGATTTTGATATACAGTTGACATATTTTACACAAATTATGAGGTAAATAGCCATGTGTTTGAAAAAAACCTCAATCAAACAGAAGAAAAGAAGGAACAATCATGTCTAAGGAATGCGCTGCACAATCCATTTATCAATTTGTTGTAATGTAAATGGGTCTCTCACATCATTAGGGAAAAGAGTTTTTATGAAACATTTCAACTTTGAAACACTGCATAAAAAGATCAGCATGTGATCACTCTCTTATCTGCTTTCTATTATTCATCTACACATAAAAAAATGTTTTGATACAAGACAAAATGCAGTCCCCAGCTGTATTTTGTCATGAAATGGCTTTCATAGCTCACAGCTCTATTATCAGGAAAAGATTCTCAGCAGCTGGGTAAATACATTTTGCTTTGTTGATGCTGACTGTTAATTTTGCATCTAAATGTTATAGAACTATAAAGCTGCAGAAAATGCCACTGATGGGAAATGCAGTTGCTGTGCTATGGATAATGCATAGGCAATAGATGAAAAGGATCATGCTGATTCCTCTCATGAAGTATTCCTGTTTTTAACATAGTCAGTGACAAAGAAGACAGGCGGGCCCTCAGGTGCCCAGGTAGGTTTTGTAGTATAATCATGTGTGCACATATGTATCAGCTGCTTGTGAGGTTGAAAGTAATTTTTAAACTCCTTGATTTAAATACTAAGTTTTAACTTCAGGAAAGACTAGCCTGGAGAACTTGTGGATGGCCCATGCCCAGAAGTGTTCAAGGCTGGGTTGGATGGGGCTTTGAGTTGCCTCAGAGTGGAAGATGTCTTTGCCCACAGACAGAGCACTGGAATGAGATGATCTTTCAGGTCCCTTCCAATCCAAACCATTGAATTCTGTGATTCAACATCAGCCACTGTCTCCTTAAAGTTTCAACCACTGGAACTAAGAAAGAATTAAACAGGTGATGAAAGTCTGTTGGAGTCTGAGATACAGAGTGTGTGCCCTTGTTTCTAATACTTAGTTCTAGGATCCAAAGAAACACATAACATGAAATTAATGAGCATGTTTTCATGGTGATACATGAGAACAAATGTTAAAGTTAGATGGAAGAAGTGTAAGTGTATAGATTAGAAAGTTTATTAAATTACTGGGTGAAAAAGTAGTTTGGAGTGCAAAAGACAAGATGGAGGATTTAGGGTGTTGTCTCTTGTCCCCTCTTTCTTCTTCATGCTCTTCTCCTAGAGGTTTTTCGATAGTAGTAAGTGAGTGGATAAAGAATGCCACAGTGCAGTACACAGGTGTTGGGTCATTGGGTCAGTAAGAAAAATAATTAGTTGGCATCTGTTAATTGGGTAAATGGACATATAGAAGACCTTGAAAAGGATCTTTGTTAGCCATTTTATCCCTTTCTATCATGGTGCACCTAACTCCTTGTACCTTGTAATGCTGATAAGAATAAACAACCGAGACCGAATAAGAGAAAACTGCCTCCCTCTCGTCAATCTTCAGTTCAAGGGGAAAAATAACCTAACCCAAAAGTCCGTTACGAGACAAAAGTCCATGTTACAAATGATCTTCCAGAATCAGTTTAAAAATAACATTTTCAAGTATTAATCTTTTTCTGCAGTGCTTCAGCACGTTGGGTTTGTACCTAGAAATGTTTGTGTGCACCTCAGACATTTAGAACATATCTGAATGGCATGAGGTATTGGTGGCAAGGGATACCAGCACAATGGCTGAGTTTAGTACAGGAATGGAAACATCACAGCTAATAGTATGATCCTACAGTCCCTCCCACTTCCCTAAATAGCCTGGGTGGACCTATGTAGCTGAAAATGCAATTTAACACTATGTGGGCACAAAATGTACTTAGAGGAGGCACCATTCCTGAAGACTCTACAGTCAAAAATACTCTGACAAAAGCTCAGTTATCCCTTTTCACCCCTCTGCACTGTCTCCTCACCAAGTCCAGCCCAGCTGCTTTCTGCACTAGGACGATGCCTCTTTCTCTCTGACTCCCTCCTGCACTACACAAGAATCCCTCTTGAGAGAGTTTTGACATTCAGACCCTCTCCCACCCTTCACACGTTTCTGGCATGCCCATTAGCTTTTGTTCAGGATTTTCCTGACAAAAGAGGCTGAATAGCCCTGGCACAGAGAACCAGTCTTAGGTTAGCTTTAGATAATCCCCTAAACTGGCAAATAATCAATTTGAAAAGAAATAGGAAATGGAAAGAAAGATCACACGAAGCCCAGATTTGGGCTGATGACATTTGCTGTTAAACTGAAGCCAAGTCATCTCAGCAGCTGCAAAATCTCAAATCAGTTGCAGGGGCTATAAACTCAGGTCACAAGACGGAAGGAAGGAAATATGGAGAAAAAGAAAAGATGAACTATTAAGCTTCCTTTGCAAATACAGGGTTTGACTTAATGTTCCAGATTACTAACTTGGATTACTTGTTTCGAATTGCTGGGATTAATCAATGCTTTCCATTCACAAGTCTGAATAAAATGTTCTTTCCATAGTCCTTGCAGAAATGACATAAGAGTACACAAAAATATTAATAATGAGAAAGTCAATATAATCTGTAACCCACAATAAAAATATCCTAGTGTATCATGGTCTCCATAGGAACTGCACAAAATCTGGAGCTTGTATTTTGCAGGTTTCTCTGGTGTTACCAGTGTAGTGTTCAACCTGCAGCCCAGGCCCTATGGATGTGTTGGATGGCCTAGATAGCCTAGAAAAAGGAAAAGGGTATGTAAGTGTGCTCCCTTAACACCACTCCCTTTAAAGGAGCAGCTGAGTACAGTGCATCTGAAGTTAAGGAAACCAGGGCTCCAATCTACGAGATAATAGAGACCTACCCATTTATGAGCTAAAGAAAAAATAGAAAATGCCCAACTAGATGCTATACTTGTTTACATATTTGTCAGACCCAGGTGTGGATCTGATGTCATAGCTTTTTCTGCTATGTTATCTTAGAGTCATACCTTGTCTCCAGTGTAAGCTGAAAAGAAATTGCTCTCCAACAGCTCTTTTACTAAAAAAAGAGAACCACAAAGGGCAGCTGTTAGCAAATGCTTAATCATTTTATCCAGCACTGAAGTATCACAGATGTTCTTGAGATTCTTCTGCATCACTGTCTCTAATGGGTAAAAGTTATCATGTGATGTCTGATTTTTTTTTACTTGTTAAGGGTATAAAATAGTGCAAAACAGGCATGATGGAAATCCTCCACAGTTACACCAACACAAAATTTCTGCATGCATTTGTGTTGCTAGCACAGCTTCTGAGTCTTCTCTCTACATATACAAAATGGGAATAATAATTCTGTCTCAGCAGTCTGGCAGGGAAAGCTGATAACTCCCTTCAAGACTATGAAGTGCTTGGTTATGGAAGGTTCTTATAAGTGTACTGATAGACAAATCAGTACATTCAAAAGATATAAAAAGATAGTGTCTTATATGGTCAGTTATAAATCTAAAAAGATTAAGTGATACATTCAGTGTGCTTCCAATGGGCCTTTGTTTTGCTACACTAGAGTTAGGTAATCATTCATCTTTACTTGCTGAAGCTACTTGCACTGTAAAGCTCTATCTTCATTAGGATAATGGTAAAAAAATCAGACCTGGCAGCTTTATTCTCCATTAAATCTTCCTGCCACAGTGCAACTAGAATAGCACCAAAAATTAAAAAGAGACAAGGGAGGAATATAGATGTAAAGAGCAGAAGAAGACATTTTTATTGTCAGTGAGAATAAGCCAGCCAATCTTTCTAACCACAAAGCAATTTAACTTGGCCTTTTACTGTATCCATTTTCTCTGATTAATTTTTATGATGTCAGACTTCTCATCCCTTGGGGTTGGAAGTTTGCTGGACATTATTCAAGGCTTTAACCCAAGGTCCTGTGTCAGGCTCTCTGGTGATCCTTCAGGTGCCAGCAGCTTGGAGCCCTGACACTTCTCAAATGCGCAGGTGATAATCTGACAAGTGTGGTTCCTCTCTCTGTGAAATGTGCCGAAGCATTAAAGTGAGTTACTACTCAGCACTTAACAGCTGCTGGCTTCTCTTGACAGCATTAGTACAACATTAGACATAGAGATATTTTGAGAGTGAGAGATGTTTTCAAGCAATTGCAGGTCTGTGAGGTTTCTCTCAAAGGTGTTTATTTAACCGGAGCTCACAGCTGCAAGACTTAAAAAGAATGTATCCATATCCAAGCGAGAGCAGTAGCTTGAGTCATTTGCACACAAAATGACTCCACTTGACATGAAAAGGTTTGCTTTTTCTGACTCCCCTTACAGGAAGTCTAATCTGCTGCCACCAACACAAATAAGCTTTGTTTGAAAAGTTCCTTGCCTTGTTACAACGACCAAGCACAACACCAAGACAGGTGTCTCATTCCTCTGTTCCAATGTTTTTCCTTAAAAACACATCAAGTACTATTTACAAAAAAAGACAGCTTAAAAAAAAATAAAGCCTAAAATAACTTTAAAAAGTCAAGGATATTTTTTTTTTCTTTTGGGATATCTGTCTCCATCTGCTACTTCCAAGTCTAAGGCTCAAGAATAAATTAACCAGTCAAGAACACATGTATTCATAAACTGCCATGCAAGTGATGTAGTTGTGAGTTTATTCATCTTAGTTTCTCCTTTCTTTTGCTCCACTTTTGCAGTCTGTTCTTTCAATATCTATGTTTTTGTATATGTTAATTTCATCAAATTCAGCTTTCCTAGTTGAATGCCTCAGAACAACAATCTAGTAAATGAGGTTGCATACCTTCTTACCCTGACAGCATCTTCTCTAACTACTTACAAATCAGATCGAGATGTAAAAGTGAGAGGTTGAATTTGATGACAACAGGGATTTCCATCTGATGCTCAAAGTTGATTATATTTCTGGTTTTATTTCATGACAAGCAGAGAAGAACAGTACATTTTGTCAGAACAGGCATAACCCAGCAAAACATGGTACGTTGTAATAGACTATTTCATATGGACTGGGAGGAAAATGTGAGAATAATAGTTTTTAATGTTTGTACTTAAGAATGTCTCTGATGGTGACCCCTAGATAGAAGAGCTCTTTTTTGTTTAGAATTGAAGCTACTTGTTACTCTGCTAAACAAATAAGTGTGCAAGGTCCAAGAGGCAGATGCACTTGTTGCTGATGTGTAATTCCCACTGATGTCAAGAACAGGAATAGTCATTTATGAGGCAAGCCCCTGGCAACCAACACAAAAATCACTTTCTACAGGAATGTACACCAACTCATAGATTTTGTCACAGCATTACATTTCCTTTCAAGTGTACTTTTTACTTTGGGAAGGAATAACAAAGCAAGCACAGTAACATTTCTCTCCAGTAAGGGGTTTTATATATTTTGACTTGAAGTGACTTATTATATATGATTTTAGAATTTTTAATCTATGTGTCACATGTTCAGAAGGAATCCCAAAACCTGTCTTACAAACTCTAGACACATTGATAAAATGAACCACTTATGGGAGTTATTTATATGCATATAAGCTAGCCATCCAAAAATCTCATCATACTTGACTGCTTTCTGAATATTATTCCTGCAGATGGTAATCACACTGCATCATGATGCTTGTTTTTAAAAGTGCTTTTTTTAAGGTTCTGGGCATGGCAGAGACTTACACACATTTATTTGGTCAGCAGAATAAAATGTTACCTCTAAGTTTATTTTATCCAAAGGAATATAACTGCTGAGATTTTTTAGAGCCTTATTCTCAATGCTCTCCACTCAAGAGAGAAAGAGCAACTTCACCTTCAAACATACATTTCCTTGTACAATTTACATTTGTGATATATTAGTCAGTTAATAATTAAAATAATTAATAATAAAGTTAATAATTAAAAATGCTAATGCTCATTTTCATACCATAAAACCTGGGTTTTGTCCTCAATAAATCTCCATGTTTGGGGTTTTGGTTTTGGGGGTTTTTTTGGTTGGTTGGGTCTATTTTGTGATTTGTTTGTTTGTGTTTGTTTTTTTTTTTAAGTCTTTTACACCCAGAGCACTAGAATCATATTTAGGCTTAAGTCCCATGCACCTCACTGGATCTTGATGGGATTTTTGCCTCAGGTAAGACTAGAAGATGCAGACCTGATGTTCATGTGTTTTGACAAAAACATCTTCATACATTTTGAGGTCTTCAGTGCTGAAAGTATTGACACTGTTTTCCCTGCATCCAAGCAACTCAGTGCATTGAATATTTAATAATAAAGGTGATATGAGGACCCGTTGTCTGACTCAGGTAAATAACAATAATTTAAACTGAATCTTCCTTCTCTACAATGTATGCAACGCTAAATGAATATAGTGTCTCCCAAAAAAAACCCCATAAACATTGTCAGAGACTATAAAAGAAACTAGAATAAACTGGACATTTGGAATAAAAGAACCAATTTTTCAATTTTAGAATATTTTGCTGCCACCTTTTGGAATTTAATAAAATGTGCATCTCAGTGGTTTGTAACAGGGATATGTACTTTAGCCCTCAACAGCAATGACTAACATTATTAACAAAAGAATATATGTATTTCTTCTTACTTCCTTTTAAAGTTCTTAACACGTATGTCAAGTTTCAGCTTTCACCTTCACAGAGAGATGTAATAGCACACATTCAAATTTAAGGCTTTCACATGTGAAGAAAATATAGGAAAACATTTGTGTATCAAACACAATAATATGCCATGATTAATCAGCAGATCAAGCATTATTTGGCATAAATAAATACAGGTAAACAAAACAAGGAGCTGCTTACAGATGATACCTAAATATCAATTCATCACCATCAAATAACTGTTTAAATTCAAGGTTACTTGTTAGAACTCAGGGCCTCTTTCCCCCATGTGTGTTGTGGCCTTTGCATTACTGTACTGCTTTTAAAATATAACTCTACATAAATAAACAAAAGGAAAACAAGTCCTAAGGCTCTGGGCTCTGTCCTACATATTCTCTCCCTGTTTCTGTCAGAGAGATTTTCTTCTGCACAGCTTAGAAAAATGCAATGCATTTTGGGGAAGATTAATATATATAAAAACAACACCAGTCTAGAGTACATGTCAAAAGTTCTTTGTTATCACTTAGACAACTAGAGCACCAGTCTTATTTTAGGAAAGCAAGATCAGAAGCATTTAAACTGGAGGAAGAAATGTCTGTACCTGGTCCTGAAGTGTACAGCTTTCCTTTGATGCATGAGATTGGTATTCCCAGAGCACCGTGGAATTCAGGTGCCTTCATCGTGGCCCATACTGGGGACAATGACCTCTAGGACACCAGCTCTGCAGGAACGTGTGCTGCTTGGCACAGTGTCCGCTCACCGGGGGAAAGCTGCTTGCCAGGTGGATCGCACAACCGCTCTTTGGGGAAATAAAAATTGGAATATTAGGAGGTGCAAGCACCAGGTGATTTATTTCTATGCCACTATAATTTCTCCATGCCTAAAATCTGATTTAAACTGGTTTTATCACAGATGCTATGATACCTGTATTCCAGAAAGCATTAAAATGAGTGTGTTTCTTACGGAAAGCGCTCACATCCCATGTAGGAAGCTTTTGGACAATTACCTGACCGCAAGGGTGGGGTCGACCAAGGTGTTTCGGCCCTGGTACGAGTGTCATGGATGTATGGATGCGCTCCTTGTGGGAACAGGGTTATTTGCAGGATAGGGACACCGATAATAAATCCTGGCAGGGCACGGGCACAGATAATAAATCCTGGCGGCGCGGCTTTGGCCCGGCTGAGGAAGTGGCGCTGCGGCGACATGAGGCGATTCCCGACTAACGCAGGCGATCGCCGGCGCGGCCGTTGCCGGGCGACGGGCGGGACCGGGCGCGACTAGGCCCGGCCCGGGGCTCTTTCCCGGGGCTCCTTGCCGGGGCTCCCTCCTGGAACGCCTTCTC